GGGCAACCCTTTACTTGCAGATGCAAGTAGCAAATGTTACGTCCAAAACATGCTTTATGCGCCAAAGAAAAGGCACTGGTCACCGGCTTACCTGGTGTAGTTCTCTTTGTATCCGGAAATGTCATCATTGGGAGATCGCAGTCTTCGCTGAGACGGTGCCTCCAGATGCCAATAATTGATACGGTTTAGGAACATTTTTGCTAGCTCCACAATCGTTTGCCTCTCTTTGGATGGCAGGTGACTGAATTTGTACTGTACAAAGTTATTCACACCCTGAAAAGGAGCAAAGGCAATTTATTCACACAGCTATGCCATCATCCCAGTTCTGAACAGCCACACAGTCAGCACTATTGGTGGTCGTTAGCAAAAGAATAGACATTTCTCTGTTCACACCAATCTCTTCCTTTTCCCCATGAGAAAACAGGAATGCCCAGAGGGAATCGTGCCTCAGATCCCAGTGGATGCAAAGCAACAAGACAGAGAGGCTGTGAGTTGCCATTCTATGGCTGGTGCAAACGGGCCGCGCTAAAGAGAAAATCAAAATCGCAGGCTGAAAAGGTCAATGCCCCTGAAACAATAAAATATGGCTATTCTGCAGCATAACTGCTGCTGTGCTATCAACACAGTAGCTCACATATAATAAAGATCCTTGGATGAATATGATGTTTTTACAGTAACAAATCAAAAGGCTGGTAGCGGATCTTTCAACGAACTAAACCAATAGAATTTAAACTCTTTACTACCTATCACTCTTCCCGTTTCATCAAGTTTATATAAAAAAAATCTTATTCAAAATTACGAGCTTTGGGGGTGGGTGTAGCTCAGTGGTAGAGCACATGCTTAGCGTGCATGAGCTCCTGGGTTCAATCCCCGGTACCTCCCTTAAAAAAAAGGAAAAGGAAAAGAAAATAAAACATGGGCTTCTATAAGAATCTGTAGATTGATTTAATCTTTATTTAATTTCAAATAAAGGAAAATAAATTCTTATTTAGTAGGGCTTGAAGACAAAATTTCTTCTACTAAAAACTGACCGGTAAAATATATTTATTTGTATTTGCAAGGACTCTGATATCATGTCTTGTGTAATCAGTCTCATCAAGAAATGCCGTCAGGAATATGTGAGATTTACTTAGCTGAATCGTGACTGGACAGAAAGTGACACTGATCAGACACTGACAACACCGAACGGAAAAGGTCTGCACATGTCAACAGATTCCCCACGTAAATCTCGGCTTCCATCCAGGAATCATATTGTGGCAGGGAGTCAATTTCTGGATACAAAATCCCATTTCTCTTTTGTGCTTTTTTTGCTTGACCTACAGTGTTGTTTTTCACATTGCGACTGAATTCCCTCACCTCAAAAGACTTTTTTAGACGGTGCCAAAGAAAGGGACAAAGACTTGATTTTAAAACATCAACACCAAGAAAAAGCCCATTTTGTGTGTTCTCACGAACTCCATGTTCTTCTTAATTTTTTTCTTCAACCCGACAAGACAAAAGCTAGATCATTTATTACATTAAGCATTTACTTCTGATCCAAAGAGTTCAGGACAATTTCTACCAATGTGATGAACATCTCTAAGCTACGGAGAAGGATGGAAGAAAGATGAGGTTTGTCCAGCCTTAAAGTAATTGAAAAAAAGGGGGGGGGGCTGCTCTTTTATCTTTTTACCTGTTCAATACTAGGTTTTTCAAACGGGGGCTTCTTCTCCAAAGAGCCTTCAACCACAGGTTTTCCTCTTTGTAAAATAGACTTTCTCAAGAGCTGCAAAAAAAATCAATCAGTGTCACACACACAGAGCCTTGAAGGAAAGTCATTGCATTCTATTTATCTTTGTTACAAGGAAATAAATCCTTACATCAGTAAAATGGGTGACTATCAGATAACCCAACTGGCCTTCATGCCTACAACCAGAGCTGTGAGGAGCCGGCCACCTGCATGTTCTGGGCAGCCCAGAGCACCCAGCAGTGGCCACAGCCACCTCTCTCCTGAGGACTTTCCCTTGTCCTCTCTGTTCCAGGATTCGGCTGGGCCAGAGACCCAGGGGCACCGCGCAGGCTCTGAACATGCCCATCCAGGCCGCCACGGGGTGCTCACACCCTGAAGGGTCTTATTTAAGCCCATGAAAGGCCAAGGTCCATCCTGCACAAACAAGGCCGGGGAACAGGGAGCTGCCTGTGCCGCAGCTGTGTGTCATGGGCGTAATCCAGGGCCCAGGAAGGAATCCTGCAAGGCTCTCAACTGGCAACACTCGCTGCTGAGGTCTTTTCCCATCGGCTCTCCATCACAGAATGCAGGCCAAGCCTTCTGGCATCTCTGTGCCCACAAAATAAAACACTGCTCTTAATCCCTGCCACTGGAACGTAAGGCCCTCAAAGAGCAAACATCAGCGAGAAAAGGGAACACCGAACCACGGATCAACACCGAATTTGAAAATAAATTTGATACTGAAATTCTTTTTTTTTAATTTTTGAACAATTTTATTGTGGTATAATTTCTGTAAACTGCACGTATTTCAGATGTACAATCTGATGAACTTTGATAGATGCACATACCCATGAAGCCACCACCACAATCAAGCCAGCTAACATCTCCATCACTCCCCAAGAGGTGCAAATTTCGAACTCCCAATTTATCCCTTCCCACTCACTCTACCCTCTGGTAACTGTAAGTTTGTTTTCTAGGTCTGAGTCTGTTTCTGTTTGGTAAATAAGTTCATTCATCTTTTTTATAGATTCCATATATAAGTGAGATCATATGGTATTTTCCTTTCTCTGTCTGACTTACTTCACTCAGAACGATAATCTCCAGGTTCATTCATGTTGCCACAAATGGCATTATTTTGTTCTTTTTATGGCTGAGTAGTATTCCATTGCATGTATGTGTATATACCACAGTTCTCTATCAAGTCATCTGCTGATGGACTGATACTGAAATTCTTCGCCTTCAACCTTTGCATGAATTTCTGTGACCCTTACACGTGGGCCAGTTATGATATATGACAGCGCATTTATTTCATTACATCTTTCCGTCCTTTCTCCACTGATTGCCTTGTCAATAGGAACAAAACACAGCAACATTTCTCCCAAGAGTTAATGGAAACGGATGAACCCCAAGGCTGAGGGTCGCCCCACGTCCCCCACGGGGCCAGGTCTTACAAGGGCCTCAGTCCCTTCTAGAGATGCATATAAAGAAAAGGTTGATCATAAAATTTAAATATAGGGGGAGGAAATAGCTCAGTGGTGGAGCACATGCTTAGCAGGCACGAGGTCCTGGGCTCAATCCCCAGTACCTCCATCAAAAACAAAAGAAAATTAGACACAAATAATTCTGGCTGCCTACTTTCTTTGCCTGGTTAAAACAAGACCATCTGGGAATTTGACCCATGGTGGGTTTCAACTGGGGGTGGGTAAATGGGTGGACCGGGGAGAGGCTGAATCTCGGCTTCTTCATCTACAAGGATGCAGCTGGGATAAGTGGGTGTAAACGAAAATGTTGACAGCAGCAAGCACGTGCATCCTTACTTTTGCCAGGCACTCTGGGCAGTTTTGTTTTGTTTTGTTTCGTTACTTTTTGGGGGGGGTAGGGGGAAGGTAATTAGGCTGTTTATTTATTTATTTAATGGAGGTGCTGGGGTTTGAATCCTGGACCTCGTACATGCTAAGCACACATTCTACCACTGAGCTATACCCTCCCACCCTGGGCAGTTCTTTGTACCGTTTTATCTCCTTAATCCTCCTAATGACCTTTTGAGGAAGCTGCTATCCTTGTCTGTATTTCACAGGTAAGGACACTGAGAAAGAATGACTTGCCCGAGGTCACAGTCACTCAGTGATGAAGGCAGGACTGGAACCCAGAGAGCTGGACTCAGCACCAGGACACAGGAGCCTTTATTTAACAAGCAGCTTTTCACTGAGTTTACTTTCAACCTCAAAAGAGGAAGTTTCTAAAATGCCGCTAAAATGGGTAAGTACGTTTTCATTTAATTTCATCACTGAGACATGAGACAAAGGAACTGCTTTTCATAAGCTAAGAAACAGATGATTGAGAATGTATTTGCCCTGAAGAATGATTCGGGGGGGGGAGGGGGGGCAAGGGGAGAAGGCTGAATATTTTGGATTTTGTCCCCGGGAGCAAATATACTTGCATTGTTAAATATGAGGGAAGTGAGAGAGAGAGAGAGAGAGAAAATGAACTTCAAAGTGCAGCACTGTTTTCTAGCCTGCCGCTGGGTTATAAACAGGACTGAGAGGAGGCCAACAGGATGGAAACCTTAGTACCACCTTCCCTTCCAACAGGGCGGTGGGGGACCGCCTGCCAGGGAGCGGGGTTCCAAGACAAACAAAAGCTGCAGCCATGCAGATGTTGCTTCTCTCCAACTGAGATCTTTTCCCAAAGAAGCTCCAAACACTATGAACCTGCCAGGGTTTAATCCAGGTGACTCAGGCCCCACAGTCATGTCAAAAGTTGTCACCTGGAGTAGCTAAGCGCCTGCTCACGGCATGGGGGACTCAGCTGTGTGTTCTCTCTCTCTCTCCCCTCCCCCACCATTTGCCATTTTAGTGTTAATTTTCCCCCATGACCTCAAATTTTAAAAACAGAATTCTCTGTCCCACTCCTGTTCTCTATCAACCCCAAAACCCCCATTAGCACACACACAAAAAAAAGTTAATAAAAGGGGAAAAGGGAAAATCATCTATCAAGTCAATTCAGATCACCCAACCCCCCACCAAAAAAAAAAAGCTATAGGAATTCATATCAAATTTGCCCTGAGATTCCTAGCAGCCAAAGCAAAAGGGGAAACACAAAGGAAAATGTCTCTCTCCTCATCATTACAAGATGAAACACAGCACCCATTTGGAGATGCAGGCTCCTCCTGGCTGTAAGCCCTGAGTGGAGGGTTTTGGGTTTTGTTTTTGTTTTTAAAGATCCTTATAAGGGTCACACAACACAACATAATCAACTGTGCCCTCAGTAGCAGGGTTGTTTTTTTCAATAGATGAATGTACTAAATAGAGTTTCCAGATAAAATACAGACAGTGCAAATGTGAATTTCAGATAAATAATTGTTAGTGTAAGATGCCCCTAATATTACACCAGTTTGTCCTAAATATTACATGGGACATATCTGAACTTAAAAAGTAGATTATTTTTATTTGTTTAAGTATAGTTAATTTACAACGTTGTGTTCATTTTATTTTGCTTTGTTTTTTAATTATTCCATCTATCAGTCTCTTTTATGAGTCTATTTTTGGCAACCTGAATTTTTTCTATCTGTCCCCACCACCTGTTTTTCTCCCCAACATCTGTCTGTCCTGGCCATAATCAGAAACATGGGGAGACCTCTGTCTTTGGAAGGGAGGGGTCGGGTGCACACAGAGCTGAGGCAGAGCCATGATGGGGCCATGGCAGCAAGACAAGGTGACTGGTGTCAACAAGACACAGAGAACAGCAGTGAGACGCCAGAACCAATTTGGAAATTCTTGATCCCACCCCTGGAAGTGGAAGAGTCCAGGCATGGCGCCACCCCTCCAATCACGTCCCCTCTGCACCCCCCCTGCTGCCCCGGTCCCCCATGAGGGACCCCCTACCACTCCTGCATCCAGTCACGCTCACTCAGCACCCAAGCTGCACGCTCCTTCTTCCTACTGCCTGGAAGGCGCTTCCCCCAGCCCTTTATGCTCCTGACTCTTAACTGTCACCTCCTCCGAGAGTCCTTCCCTAACTGCCCTTCCTGTGACCATGTCGCCACACCCTCCCCCGTGCCTGCCATTGTGACTCCACTTAAGCTACTTTGTTTCTCTTCAAGGCACTTCTCACCATCTGCAAATACACTATTAACTTGTTGAGGGTCTGCCTCTTCTACTGAAATGCTAACTCCACAAGGGCGAGGACCCTCTTTTGCCCCCAATCCATCCCTCACACCTACACGAGCACCATGCACAGAGCAGGTGCACAGGAGGTGGTCCTTGGACGGATGGCTGGCTGCCAAGAAGTCGATAAGCACACACAAATAAATATACTCAACTCAGCATACAAGTATGAAGGCTCTCGAGGGGCGTGACGTGCCCAGAGGACTCTGGGTCTGTGTAGAGAGCCCCGCACGAGGAAGCACGCGCTTCAGCAAACCTGAGGCTGAGCGCCTTCCCACCTGAGCTGGCGGGTGGCAGATGCGCACAGATGAACCGTGAGAGGAAGAAGGAGAGCCTTTCAGAACGTTCAGGTCTCACCTTGAATAGGTAGAAATACACCTGTTTGGTATCCGCATCTTCTTCCTTGTGGACGCAGGTGAAGAGATATTCCACGTCCAACACTATTCCCAGGAGTCTGTTCATTTCTTCCTCAGACACGTTCTCCAGGTGGGAAACGTGAGCCGCTGCAGACAAAGAGTGAAGGAACACGTGTGAGAAACTGATGACACCAAGGACAGTCTCTGTTATAAAAGTGGGAGGTTCTTGGGGGAGCGTGTAGCTCAGCGGTAGAGTGCATGCTTAGCAGGCACAAGGTCCTGGGTTCAATCCCCAGCACCTCTGCTAAAATAAATAAACCTAATTACCTTCCCCTCTCCCCCCCAAAAAAAACACAAAGAGATTTTTTTTAATTTTAATTAAAATAAAAATGGGAAGTTCCCTCTCAGGAACCTTCTGGAATGTGATCCACCAGATTGCATTGCACATACAGGAACTTGTGGAACTCCTGGAAGACTGAGGTCTTCTCTCAAAATTGACTCATGACTAAGAGGCTACCACCTTGTCAAGCACAAGCCTGCCTCCACCACTAGTGGCGAATGTATGGTTTTGAGATCTGGAACTTGTTGGCACCATGTCTGGACATGAGAGTGTTAAATTCTTATAGTAACTTTCCATGTAAGCTGATTCTCCACCGCACCAAGAGGGTCCTCGAGGTGGAGTCAGGATTTGAGGACTGGGGGTTCAGAGGGACACAAAAACCAAGCCCCCCAAAGGTGTGGTTCTAAGCCCTGGGAGTGGTCCCGTTGGCTGAGAACATCCCGTATCCGTCGAGACTGAATGAAGCCCTTTTCCTCAGCCCTTCTGAGACGCAGTGTGGACACCACCCCGTCTCTGTAGCAAAGCCCCGAGGTCTGTGTGAGCTTGAGATTCAACATCCTCCACAATCACGCCCCCAAACCCATTCTTCCGCCCTTTACCCTGTGGTCTCACTGAGGGTAGGTGGCGTTTCCACTGGCCTCCTCCTTTCTATGCCCCCACCCCCTCTTCTACCCAATTCCAGTCCATTTCAAGGTTAACCCATTTTATCCTCAACAAATGCCATGAAGTGGGTCTCAGTAATCCCATTTTAACGTTCCGGAAACTGAGGCTCAGAGAGATGGAACATCGTTTCCTCTAGTGCCACCCAGCCAGTACGGCAGAGCCGGGTCCGGAAGCAAAGAACGCCTGACCCGCATTCCAAGGTGCCCACACCCACAAGTCCGGGATGATCAGCTGACTCCCCGCTGAGGGCTCCCCGCCTGGGGAGCCACGCGGCAGCGGACCAGGAGCTCTGCGCCTGCGCGGGGCGGCGGCCCTGGTCTCTCACCACTGCGCCTGCGCGGGGCCAGCGCCAGCTCCAGAGTGAGCCTCTCAGGGGCGGCCCTCGGGGCGTGGGCTGAAACCGCCTGCAGGGAGAGGTGCTGGGGACGGTTTCTAAACAAAGACTAAACTGGGGAGAAGGGTGACGGGCTTTCCCTTGCCTTTTTAAGGGGAGATGGAACTAAAGGTGCTCAAGGGACGATCCGGGTGTCAGGCGTGGGGCAGTCCACGCCAGAGACCACCGTGCCTCTGTCATCAAACCATGAAGCTCACTCAAAGGCCTGGGACAGAGAGCCCTGCCGGTCCCCTCCCAGGTCCCCTTCCTTCCCCACCTGGGAGCACACCCCCTGCTTCCACCCGCCGGCAGCCCCATCTCCCCCGTCACTGTAATCTGCTGCCACCACACCGTCAAGAACAGCCTTCAACCAAAGATGGAAGGAAGACGTGACCCCAGTTCGTCCCCTCTCAGGGGAGTAACTCTGGGGTAAGTCTCCATATCCCCCCCGCAGAGTTCCACACCCGTCGCCCTCAGGGGGAGCTGGCTTAGTAATGCACCCCTTATTGGCCGCTCCTCCTCCCTGTCTCACTTCTCCGCTCCCCTACCTTCATCCCAAATGAACCAGGACTTGCACCCAAATCCTTGTCTTGGATTCTGTTTCTGTAGGAGCTCACACTAAGGCATCGCATCATTCCAGGGAGTTAAGAGGATTACATACGAAGAGGGTGGGCCTTCCACGTGTCCACCAGGAAGCCAGACTAAAGGGGTTCACATCAGAGGAGCAGAGGCCTCCCACCTTTCATGCCTACCTTCAAATTTTTTATTATAAAAAATTTCTTTTTGTTTTGGTATTTTTTGGGTGGGGTGATTAGGTTTGTTCGCTTCTTTATTTAATGGAGGTGCTGGGGATTGAACCCAGGACCTCGTGCATGCTAAGCACACACTCTACCACCGAGCTATATGCAGCCCCTACCCTGCTTCATCCTTTTCTAATGCAGAAAAGTAAGGGAAAGGCAGGGGGAAGGGCCCAAGTCACGGGCCACTGGCGATGCGCGCGGACGTGCACACCCCTCTGTGTGCGCGCACATGCACCCCAAGAGGCCGTTTCTACAAGGTACGGAGGGGAAGGAGACTTGAAGAGGTCTGCCTTAGGCGCTGTGGGTGCAGCTCCACTTGCCGACGCCCACACTGAATTGTTACATTACAGAAACACAAAAAGTAATTCAGAGCTACTACTTCCTACTTGGCTACACAACCCATGGCTCCATCACTTTCTGAAAAATGCCCTTTTAGGTGGAACATTTGCAGAGTCACCTTCTTTTTTTTAAGGAGGCAAAATATTTCGTGAAGTCAGTCTGTAGCCTCTGGGAGATGGGCCTTATTCTGGAGACAACTAGGTCACAAATATTTATGTCACTTACTTCCAGAAACAATTTTATTTAAGACTATTTTTGCCTTGCCACGTTTTAATCTCTTTCCAGTGATAAGCCATGAAAGCGATCAGTCTACAACAGAGTATAAATTCCTTCCGATTCTCCATAATGTGAAAGAGTTTAATTAAGGTGCTAACATACAATGTCTTTAATTTACACAAGTACATGCCATGATTTATTTTTGAAACTGGTGGTTCACTTTCTTTAAGCCACCAACACTGCCCAGAGGAATCCTGTCAGCAGAATTAGAAAGAGTTGCTCTGGTTGAAACACCAGAGTGTTCAACCAGAAAGAGGTTGGAAGCTCCTACTTTCAGGATGGGGTGGTGGAGGTGGGGCAGGGGTCCAGCATCCCCTCCCCTGGCTGGGGTTCCATGATTGGAAGACCAGTGTTTAGAACCATCTTCTAGCATATTCTGAAGAGGAGACTAGATAAAAATTAAAACGCTTAAGAAATGAGACTTAAGGAGATTAGTTTCCCTCTGATGCTGCCCATAAGGGAATCTGCCCTCTCTCCTCCAAGCTCTGTGTGTGACCCAGCGTCCAGGGGACCGAGGAGCTGGAGGGGGCGTGTAAATGAAGCAGCACCTTCCCAGAGGGAGGAAGGGTCAGGCTCTGCTGGACAACTGGGGCAGGACTTACCGCAGAAGAGGGGCGGAATCTCCCCCAGAATAAAGGAGGGGTGGGACTGGGGTGAAAGAGGGTACACTGAGGCAGAAGGATGGTACTGCATGGAAAGGGTTAAACGTTCTAGAATGAATGACGGAATCGGTGGTGGGGGGAGATGGGATGAAAATAGAGGGAATGGACCATCTGCTTGGGAAGGGAAAAGAGGTCTGGACAAGTTGTCATGAAAGAGAAGCTCCCCTGCAATGAGAGGGGACAAGGACAGTGGTGCTCAGTGTAAACACACTTGTCACCTGGACCTGCCGTGTTCTCCGACTCTGCGACTCTGGGCCCCTTTCACCGAGACTTCTCTTCAGCCTCTGAGCGCCCAGCGCTCAGCTTTCCCCTCTCACCAAATCCACGTCACCAGCCAACCTCCCCTCCAGCTCACGCCATCCCCACACCCAGCCTCAGTGCCTCCCCGCCCCAACAATCAGCGGCCCCACCCTCACGGCAGATTTGACTTGCAGACTGCAATCCTCATGGCCATCCTCAAAATTTTGATCTCCCCTTGCCAAGGAGCCAGCCACTCACTCCTTTACTGTCCTTTACCCTCCATGGGGGACCAGCCAGGACTCAGCAGAGCTTCCTCATTGTCACCCCTCTCCCCCTGGCTCCCACTATGGTCACTGGGATCTCAAGCCTTCAGACCAAAACAGCCCCCTACTTTCCTCAAGCAACCCCATTTCTACCAAACCCAAGATGACTTCTGACTCTTCGGGGTGGCTGATCAGAATTAGACAGGACTCACTCAGAAGCCCATAGTCCTTCCCAAGATACATCAACATGCAGACACACTTCACTCTGACTGCAAAGCTACTTACTGAACTCATATTTAACCCAGAAGAGCCACTTACTATTGAAAAAAAAATTACTTGCTTAATCTTTTCCAAAGAAATCTTTTTGATGCAAATAAGTTCCCTTCAATTAACCAAAAATATATTTTCTTGAAGAGATATGCCTCTATTATTTACCAGCTGGGAGGCATACTATTAAAGAAAATAAAATAAAAATCTGTAAACTCCAAAGCACAAATCTACAGCAGTGAACCTGCCACAGGACTCGTAACACTAAACACTGAATCAGTGCTATTTAAAGCTGTAAGACATGCTCCCGAATCCGCCTGCTCCAATAAAGTCTGCATCAGTGTCCGCAGTACCAGCCCTGTGAGAGAAGACTTCCTTCCTCACTCTCGCCAGCAGCGGAGAATCATACTCAGTCATTTAATCAGCCTTTTGAAAATTAAACAGGGTCCCCACTGTTTCAGTCTGCATTCACCGGACACCCTAGAGTTGTTTGTTTTCCCCCGTTACCGTCCATTTGCATTTGCTCTTTTGTGCCCTGCCTATTCACATCTTCTGCCTGCTTTTTTAGGAGGTGGGTCTTTTCCTTCCTGCCTTGAAAGAGACCTCTGTCTGTCCTTCTCTTTGCAAATGCTCCTGGATTTCGCTGGGGTTTGGGTTTGGTTAGACGGGACTTGTAAATTTTTTAGAAAGCCGAATCTATGTTTGGCATGTCTTCAAGGCCTGGCCTGCAAAGAGGTCTTCCCCATACAACCAAAAGATGACGAAAATGGATGTTCTCCCAGAACATTTAAAATATAAAACAGTCCTCCACCAAAACGTCAATATCATAAGACTGAAAAAAAAAAACACACAAAACAAAAAGGCAGAGGAATTGTGCCAGAGCAGAGGAGACTACAGAGGCCTGCCATGATGCTGTGGTGCTGT